TTTGTGGAAATACGGCTAAAACCAGCGGCTGAAACCGTCGTAAAAAATTACAATAGGATGGCCGCTCTCAGGTTTCTCTCTGATATTAGTAATAAATCAGAAGTCAGAAGCAAGAAATTGACTAATCACAATCGATTATTCTTCTGTGATTTGTCTGTGATTGGTCAATTTCTTGCTTCTGACTTCTGATTTATTACTAATATCTCATTGTAGAAGGCCCTTTAAACTATCGATACGAGCTATCGACTTTCTGAAGTTAAGTTGGAGAAGTGTAGTGCGCGAGCGACAATGCACTCGATTGCACTCGGTCGATAAAGGAGGCGAAGAGAACAGGTGACGACATCGTTGTCATACTCGTGATTTCATAACACGCCATTTTCCACCATTTTCTTTGTGTGTAAAGTGCTGGGTTGAGTGAGAAGAATTTACGCATCGTATTTTCTTCCGAGTACCAGGTAACGTGAGAGTTTTCGTCGCGCGTGAAACGACATGCGTATATTGTGTGGGTAGTTTCGTGCTTTGTATTTGCGCATCTCGTACGATACTGCGCGATTAACGCGTTGATTCCAATCGAATTGCTTAGCTCTTGTGACAGGTTTCTCAGAAGAACATCGCGGGGGTAGTTGAACGGATTCCGTTCCGTGACGCGAGAGAGTCGTTATCGCTTTTATTCGCGGTACATCTTTGTGACATCTAAGAAAAAGGATATTAATTTCCAAAGTGTTGTATATACTGTGATAACCGCCAAAAAACTTTCGCTTGCAAACCTCGAGCAGAAAGTTAGTCGTTGAATTTTTGTTTTACATATGTATTATACGTACGTCATTGTTACTTTGTAGATGCACTTTTTTCAACAACGTTTTGTCGGATGATTCATATAACAATCATCTCCTCTAAACAATTAGCTCCAAAAATTAGTTGTGTCACGATAGTCATTAGCTTTTAGTTTGTTTTGATGTATTTATATGATATTATATAAATAAACAGACAGGCGTGAACTAGATATACCATCAAAAGCTTTTTCCTTTTATGCTTTATAAAATTACTTATACATATATGCTTCATAAAATTACTTATACATATAGGCATATATACATACATATACACATATATGTAAAATAATAAAAACTATTAGTTTATTAACATAGAAGAGATGAAGTTTAAACACTTTTGAAACTTTGGAAGCTTAGAATTACTTTGACAAATATTTAAAACTTAATAATATTTTGATATATCAATTTTCAAGAAAAAATGATTAAAAAGTAAAGTCAGTAAAATTAAAAATTAAAAATATATTGTTACATATGTCATTTACATATATTGTTACATATGTTGTTTATTCAAGAATGTTTTTCTCTTTGTAGTAATCATATTTATCTTATTACATTATGTATTTATATATTTGTGATATCATTTTTAACTTCTAATTGTAATTCAGGAATTAATTTTTTATTTTGTGATTTTTCAGTAAATAATGTCATCTCGCAAGAAAGTGTTGCTAAAAGTTATAATTCTTGGAGATTCAGGTGTAGGAAAAACATCTTTGATGAATCAGTATGTTAATAAAAAGTTTAGCAACCAATATAAAGCAACAATAGGAGCAGATTTTTTGACCAAGGAAGTAATGGTTGAGGACAGAATAGTTACTATGCAGGTTATATTTATTATCTTAATAATGGTATGTTGTCTTTTTGTATCTTTAAAACAATTGTAAGTACGTCTGTCTCAGATCTGGGATACTGCTGGGCAAGAAAGGTTTCAGTCATTAGGAGTAGCCTTTTACAGAGGCGCGGACTGTTGTGTGCTAGTATTTGATGTATCTGCACCAACTAGCTTCAAATCTTTAGACTCATGGAGGGATGAATTTTTAATTCAAGCTTCTCCTCGAGATCCTGACAACTTTCCATTTGTTGTGCTTGGAAATAAAGTCGATCTTGAGTCAAGAGCAGTAAGTAGAATTACAAAAATAAATAAACTTAAGTGATTAATAATATGTTGAGAGGTGACCTCAGGTTCGATGTGGAGAATCCAAAAATGATTTGAAATAAACGGCTATGTCGAACCGATTGCAGGATGGTGTGCAATGATGTAGAATAATTTAGAACAAAACGTTTTGACTTTTTATTGAAGTCTTCTTCAGTTGTACACTGTGTGAGTGATGTTATTTAACAATTATTAAGTGAAGGATTGTATAAAAATTGTTTTTTCATATAGAATTTATACGTACCAATTGGATAGAATTAAAAAATAAATTAAAAAATATGTAGAGTGAGTCAATTAGAATTTGATGATGAAGTGAACAATCTTCACTGTCATTTAATATAAAATTATGGACTGAGTGTTGTTACTGTTGTTATGTGTTGTCTGTTGTTATGCATTGTCTGTTGTGTGTCACTTGTGTTTGTGAAGATTGTTTGTGTATGTGTTTACTTCCTCTATGTGTGTGTAATTAAATTAAAGTTATTTACTATCTTTCCCAATCTTATCCAATAATGATAAGTATATGTCATCAAGCGTTTCTGTATCGGTCATTAGATTTATGCTGTTTTTATGTATTTTTATATGAATCATCTCAGATGTGATTCTTTTGTAGAAATTTGATTCGACATCCAAAATTTTTATAGATTGCCAGTCGAAATTATGATTGTGTTCTATGGAATGTCTGACAAGTACGGACGTTTCAGTGTGGCCTTCTTTTACATTATTAGTGTTCTTTTATCCTAGTAAGAAGTCTTTTGGTATGGCCTATATAACATTTGTCACATATTACATTGGATGTAATAGACTACGTTTTTCTGTTTGTTTTGTGGAATTTGATCTTTGTGTATTCTGATAAATTTTGAGAGTCGATTCAAATTTCTATATGCTGGTAATATTCTGGTATTTTTCATTTTGATATTATCAATATGCTGAGATGTGTTCGGTACATATGGCATTACAAAATATAATGTACAGGTTCACTTTCTTGTTCGAGTATCATTGGTTTGGCATGCCTGTTGAGTTTTGTGCAAAATAGCGTTCTCAGTCTTCTATTCATTGTGTTGAATATTAGTTCTATTGGATAGTTGTTAATTAAGATGTTTATCACTAACTGTAAATTTTTTAAATGGAATTTAGGATCTAATTTTGAAGAAGACTTCAATAAAAAGTCGAAACGTTTTGTTCTAAATTATTCTACATCACTGCATATCATTCTGCAATCGGTTCGACGTAGCCGTTTATTTCAAATCATTTTTGGATTAAGTGATTAAGTTTTTTTATTTTTATATATACATTTATTTTATACATAAACTTATAATCAGCAACATAAATATAACATTAAATTCTGTCTTGAAAAATTGTGATATCAAGTAATTCTTTTGTTATTTTACATGTTCTTTTTGGATTTAGGTATCAAGCAAGAGAGCACAACAGTGGTGCCAATCAAAGAACAATATTCCATACTTCGAAACTAGTGCAAAAGAGGCTATTAATGTTGAGCAAGCTTTCCAAACGATAGCTAAAAATGCTTTAGCTCAGGAAAGTGAAGTAAGTATTCACAGGCTAGTGAATACGTAGTAGTATTTATTCAAGCTTATATTTAAAATTGTCTTAAATTTATCTAAAAATGATGTATGTGCTTTATTGGCCACGAAACATCTTATTCCATACTTTGCAAATCTTAGGTTGAACTTTACAATGAATTTCCGGATCAAATCAAATTGACCAATGACCAAAGAAGCAACGGCAGAGGCGATTCGTGCGCTTGCTAGGTCACAGCGATAATACCTGAGATGGCTAACAAGGATGCACAGGTCAGATTGTACATTTACATCACCTGCGCATGAAAGAACGCGGAGAATATATTGCGATGAGCTTTATGTGTGCGGGAAGTCTCATAAATACATTTCTTTATGAACAGATGTTATCAAAATAATCTTTTGTCCGCAAAATGTCTCAATATTGTCGAAATAAGTTTGTTAAATCACGTTAGTACACGATATAAAAAAAAAGAATAACAAGTTGACTCTATACGTAAAGGAGTGTGTACAAACTATTGACACACACACACATACACAGAAACTAACATATATATGTATATATGCGTATACATAGATACATATATATATATACATGTATATACACACAATTGTTTTTGTAAAATGTGCGTGAGGGAGGGGAGGAGAGTTGTGCGTGCGTGTTTTTTCAGACTTCCTGACTTAAAAAAATATCGCAATTTTGTATTATATACTCCTGCTGAATTTACGACTTGTCATGTAAGTCTCTATCTATACGTTATCTTTAGCTAGAAAATTCGTTTTTCTTTTATTATAATGTAATGCTCTCTTATCGGGTATGGCAAAACATATAAACACTTTTTTGTTTTTAGTTTTTTTTTAATTGTTATTTCAATCTTAAAATGATTTTTTGTAGTTTTAATTCATTCTTACACAAGAATATTTCAAGATTTTTTGAGACGATATTAGGAGTCGTTGTTGCACCAGAAAAACTATGTGGGTTGGGAACATATTGTGTGTTAGCACGATACTGTTAGTAAATTATATAATAAAACAATTTGCTCATAATTTGTTAAGTACAATTGTGCATTTATGAAGGTCTAGAGTATGTAGTTTATTACTCTTATAGATGAAACTTGAAAACTTGTCTCGCAAAAAGTAGTTCATATGAAATGGACTGAGAAAATAAGAGTTACAATAAAGTTGCTAAGATATACTTTCTAGCAATGTGTCGTAAGCTGTTTTAACAAGTTTGAAATTTACACGGATGCATGGTGTGAGCTCCTAACCTTTTTTTTTCTATATTGAGAATTCTCATTTTTTTTAAATTGAGATATAAAATTTATTGTTAAAAAATATTAATTTTTGTTGTGCACACAATATCAATGCAAAATATGTTACTCTTCGTTTAAATTAATTATATTACATCGTGTTTTGTTTAGGGATGTTTGTATGGCCATCCCGATTTAGAAAGAAAAAGAAGAAAATGCATTGCAAATGCGAATTAGAGAAATTTTCCTGTCATTGGACGTGTTGTCTGCAATACTTTTTGTGGAAAAAGTATTTTCGACACTCAGACATTTCTTCGCGCAAGCTCTGATTCCTCTTCTGAAGCAAAATTTCTTCTTGTACCGCGATGCACATAATGGTTTCTTAAATTTTTAATTATACAAACACAAAATTTATCATATAAAAAAATAACACGGTGAAATATATAATTCCAGTTTGCGGTGAATTAATTGTCAATTGTGTGGTCTATCGAATAATTCTATATATGCAGATTATATTTTGTATATAATACAACATATACTCCATTTAGGACAATTTAACGTTATACAAATAATAAATCTTTATATCCTGATAGCCATATCAATAAGTATATGCGCTTATAATATTTTAAATCTGTAGAGTTCTTATTACAGCAGTAATTAATCTTAATGGCGTGTGATATTTATTTTGACAAAAGAAACGAACTTTTATAGTTCATGCAGATGTGAGGGAATATTTACATGATGCTGTATCTCAGATTTTTGTAGTAAAGATAATTATATGCTCATTAAAATATGTTACATGTTTTAGATTCAATTTCTCCTAAAACAAAGAGAAACTAAGGTAAGCATTATAGTTTTTGTAGTAATAACGCGCGAGTATTGTGTAATATCATATAATATAATGCATCGCGGTACCAATAACGATTGTAATTTTATACTATTTGTGGTCTTCGGATTGTAATTAATCAGATATGTTATATTTGTTAATAACGATTGTATGTCATCAACAGGTTGATTGATTCTCTTCTATAAGAAGGTTTTCTATAAGGCTTGTTCTACAATACAGTCGTAAGAAATTGACCAATCACAATCAATTATTCTTCTGTAATTTGTCTGTAATTGGTCGATTTTTTACGACTTACGACTGTATTGTAGAACAGGCCTTATAGCCACAATTTTAAACATTTTTAAAAAAAATTTTTAAAAGAAAAATAAAACGCAATTTTTTAATCTTTTTATATGCTATTATTTGAATCTTATAGTTTAAAAATAAATTTTTTTTGTTTTACCTTATTAATATTTTAATTATGCTTTCTGCAGTCAAAAATGGCGCCTTGAAAATGGCGATGAAGGTGAATTCTCCAGCTTATACAATCATCTGAAACAAAAAGTTCAAAAAGATTCCTAATCTGTATGCTTGTTGCTTGTCGCTGTCGCAAGTAGCAGAATTGGTTGTTTTTATAAAAAAAAAAAAAAACAAAATGACGGCCATTTAAAACTTTGAAGCAGAAAAGTGCAAGGTTTTTGCTTATTAATGGTCGAAAAAATAAAAAATTTTTGTCAAACAAGCGCTACCTGTAATAGTGACAAGTATACAGAAAGAATATTTTGGAAGTTTTTGGTTAAGGTTACCGTGAACTGCATTCACTTTCACCATCTTTTTCCAAGACGCCATCTTTAATTGCAAGAAGTATAATCAAAATATTAATAAATTATAACAAAATAATTTATTTTTAAACTAAGATTCAAATAATAACAAAAAAATTAAAAAGATTGCGTTTTATATTCTTCATTAAAAAATTCAAAAAAACATGCTTAAAAGTTGACTGTTACATCAGAAAACCCCTTTAACGTTAACCAACACGGTTCGCATTAAATTATCTGTTATACCGAGAATTTCTCCTATAAAACGAATTTCCATTTACACGTATACTTAAAAATCTTCAATTTTAACTTTGCCGATAAATTTGTTTAAGAGTTCAGAACTTATATAAATCTTTAAAACAATCAAATTCGATCATTGATACTCGCTATTTCTAGGCCACCCTGTCTGTATAAGTATTCTTACAAGAAATTTATATAAATATTTAACGTGAAATATACATTTGCAGAATTCTAAAATTCGCATTACATTTTACATTTTTTTAGAAAGACTGAAAAAATTTCGAATTGAGAAAAACAACAACTACGCAGGGTGTCCTAAAACTAGCGATAAAAAGTTTTATTACTCAATTTTTCGGGACCGACCCATTTCTTTGATACTAGAACTACCGGTCAGTCAAAATGACTTGGTTTTAGATTTTTACTTAAAACTTACTCAAATTTATGATATTGCATTTCAGAAATTTTTTATGACTTTTGCAATATATAGAGAATTAAGTTTATCAATTTGTCCTTAAAAATTTCTAAAATGCAAAGCCATTAATTTGAATAATTTTTAAATGAAAAGTTATCACCAATCATATTGACTGCTTCGGTAGTTCTAAGTGTTAACTCAACTTTCCCCTGCTTCTCTCACTTTTCAGCACGAATTGCGCGATACTGTGTCAAATAAATAGTAATATAAATATAAATTATGTTGTTTTATTAATACTATCAATAGTCAGTTCGTAATGACTAAAAAACTTGAACTATATAATTATATAATTTATATACAGGATGTCCCATAATTGCCGTCTAACCGCTCGTAGATAGATAGAAGAGATTATTCTAACACGAAAAGTTTTATGCCACTTTGCAAGATTCGCAATACTTAACGAAATATTAATTAATAAAGATCCGCTAATCAGCGTAAGGACAGCCCAGTCTGTCGCACCGTAGCGACGGAATGGGAGGAACTAATAGAATAAGATGTGCATATATAGACAGCATATAGGCTGCGTTCGGGCAGCGCGCTATCCGCGCTATTGGCTGCGTTCGGGGAGCGCACTATCAGCGCTGTTGCATCATTCTGTTTTTATTGCTCATTAGATGTAAAACAAGGATAGAATGACGCAATAGCGCTGATAGCGTGCTCCCCGAACACAGCCATTGTATTCCGTCGCTACGGCGCGACAGACTGGGCTGTCCTTACGTTGGATGCACGCTGATTAGCGGATCTTTATTAATTTAATATTTCGTTAAGTATTGCGAATCTTGCAAAGTGGTATAGAACTTTTCGTCTTAGAATAACCCCTTCTACCTATCTACGAGCGGTTAAACGGCAATTATGGGGCACCCTGTATAATTCTATTTATAAAAATAGAATTTTAATTTCTTAAATAGTAATTTGTTTTTTTTCTTCTTTTACAAGAAATTTGTTTCACATGTCTCCTGATTGGTCAATTTTTTGATCTACCAATTTTGATCCAACTAGAAACTAAACTAATCAGTAAGAAGTCCGAGTTGTTTAAACTTTAACTTGATTTTTAATCTTATTAACGCAAAGAGATATTATCTTGAATTTATTTTTTTTATTAACTGTACACATATATATATCTGTTGTCTGTGTATGTGTACAAAAAATAATTTCAGACTCTTTGTTTTATAGATATAAAGAAATAAAAAAAATGATTGTTATGTATAAAAAGAAGTTCACAAAAAATCTTATTATATTTGTATTATAACTCATTATTTATTATATTATTTTGCTATACTTTAATAAATTGGTACCTTCATTACACTACAATTATTTTATTTATAACAAAATAGTTGCTCACAAATGAGTATAAGATCAAAATGAAGTTCAACGCGTATCGAATAGATCGGGAAAATTAATAGGTTACTCATCAAAAGCTGATATTTCTGTCATTATGGGCATTGTCCAGGCGCTTATAAACAAACGCGATGAGCTCTTTGTAATCCCTATTAATCAGCATAACCCGCCATGCATCCGTTGCTTCGAAGAAATAGATAGAAAGCCAGGAAATCCCAGCAGCTTCGAGAATCTTCATATAAAAACTAAGGCGCTATATCCGCAGAATTTCGAGGGTGCCTACTTGCTGCTAAAGAAGACATTAAGCAAACACTTCAATGTGACATACAAAATGACTTTGAGTTCCGTCACACCATACGGCCTCAAGTTTGGTGTGAACTACATCGGCACTAAGCGAGTGGAACCGTCGGAGAGATATCCGGTAATATCGGGCGAAATTACACCGAGTGGCAATTTAAGCGCTAGCTTCATGCACACACTCGGCTGTTGGTGTAGGATCAAGTTCGCGACTCAGATCGGTAACAAGAAACGTAAAGCCTTCAGTTCCGGCTTGGAGTACCGCTCGGACGATTGCACAGTAGCGCTGACTCTGGCGAATCCTGATTTTATCAGACTGCACGGTACATTGGTATTGCATTATCTACAAGCAGTCACGCCAAAGATCACGCTCGGCACGGAAATCGCGTGTCTGCGCGGATCGATGATACCAGGCGGTCAACAGACAGTAATGTGCGCCGCATTCCGACACAGCACCGGTTCTACCACATTATCCGCCACGATCGGTGAAACGGGTATTCATGTCTGTTATCATCGCAAGGCAAGCGAACAGCTGCAGCTCGGCGTTGAGTTAGAAACAAACACGAGGATTCACGAATCCGTCGGTACGATAGTATATCGTATTGACATACCGCATGCAAATTTTGTCTGTCGAGGATTCGTCAACTCAGAGACCAGTGTTGGCGCTGTATTTGAGAAAAAGCTGTATCCTATTTCAGAAGCGACGTTGATCGTAAGCAGTTTTTTGAATCACAAGAAGCAACAATTTCGCGTCGGTATTGGACTGAGTGTTGGCTAACAATGTTCTTAAATTAACTAGAATGATTATTATTTTACCAATTTAAAAATTTTAAACGTTTTTGAAGATGTTATTTGTTTATATTGGTTTTTAGAAACTACAATGTTATACCGAGTAGATGCGTGATCAGTCAAAGAACTTTAACTAATTTACGCGCGTGGCGTATATTTATAATTTTTATCTACTTTATATAAAAAAATGTCAGATGTGTTTATTACAACTTGCACAATTGGTGTGCATAAATAAACTTAATTGCACATATTAAATTTTTTGATTTGCATTTTATGTAATTGAAGAATATTTTTACGCGAAAAGTATTGAATATTTATATTATCGAATAGTTTGAAACGCGAGTTTTTTAAATAATAATAAACGCAAATGCGTACTATATATTCTTCTTACACTTTCAATCACACTTATTATAAATGTTTTATAGAATATAATTTTATACTCAATAAAGAATGCAAACGTAATATGATATGATTATTTCGTATTTAAATAAACGCCTTTGACTTTCAAATTGATATTGAGAAGATAAATTAATTGAACTAATTATTTTCATTTAATCATCAGCTATCCGTTCATCTAAATTGTCCTGCTCCACGTGTAAAGTTGTAGATTTTAATTTGTCAAAATTAGCTTGAAACTTCTCATTCAGAAGCCCATTTTCATCAGCATATTCCAAGATATCACAGATTAAAGGTGATTCAACTCCCAAAACGTATTCACAAATTTTTGGCTCCAATAAAAATAACGATACACTAGATGGGCTTGCAGTATGGTGCTCCACACACTTCAATTTTACCTAAAATTGAAACGCAAGAATAAAAAAAAATAGCATAAAATTACAAGCTATTTTTGTTTTGTTTTACATATTATGTACATTTTTCACATTTTTGATAATAGCACATACTTCAGTTTGCCTGGGAGCACCAGTATGATCGCAATTACTTCCATCGCTGTAGAAATGTGAGATATGTTTTCTTAATTCTATCGGTTTGGGTCTCTTATGCGGATGCGCGGCTATCCATTCTAGATGTTTTTGTTTGTCGAATCTCCCAAGGTTAACAATTGTCGTTGTACTATCTTTTTCCACATGATATTGAACAACGGAACGTCCGTAACAAAATTCGTATTTCCACCAACCGGTGCCCTAATAATTTATTAAAACTTATAATACATAAAATTGTTTATAAAAGCTACAATATAAAAGCGATGTGTACTTACTCCATGTAGACAATACTTTCCATTGAGGAAACTCTGGACAGGACTTACTTCAGCAGGACTAATACTTTGATCAGTTATTGTATTATCTAATTCATCAATATTGTCATGCTTATCAGTAATGTCAGCTAATGGACGTACTTCAACTTTTATTGTTTGTTCACCATCCTATAAATCAAATTTGTTAATCAATTCTGTAGCATGTACATATGTACACATGTATCTAACAAAATAACTAAAACATCTTTGAAACAACAAAAAAAAAACAAGATAATTTTAAATAATAATGAATTTTGGCTATTGAAGCAGTAACACTGTTGTTGGAGTGTATATATTAAAATCTGTTTATTAACAATTAGTAAATAGCATGAACGCTTTCGACCCTTGTATTAGGTCCCGTTCATGCTATTTACTATTAATTGTTAATAAACGGATTTTAATATATACACTCCAACAACAGTGTTACTGCTTCAATAGCCAAAATTCATTGTTATTTAAAAATTCTTGAAGCTCTATATAATCATCATTACAAAGATAATTTTAATTTTTTAAATTCTAATAAAAAACTTCAGAAAAATTGGAAAAGTATAATATAGCAAACTAAAAGAAATGAATGTCATATGCTTTTGTTAATTATACCCCAGATTGTTGATGTCGTAATTTCAGACTTTCTAATTCCATTAGTGCAAGAGATTTTGGTTTTTTCGGTGCATTGCCAACAGGTTGACATGTAATTTCATTTTCTCCTGTATTTTGTGGTTTATAATCTGGATGATCGCACAATAATGGCGAAAGCACTATTGCTTCATACTCGCAGGTCATTGTCTCTTTGAGTGAGAACACATCATGTTTACCATGTTTATAACAAACATATAACACCTTAATGATTCTTGGTTTTTTGCTCAAATCACATAGTGTACCATCAGTCATTTCAACTTCTACATATGGCATATTAATTCCCTCAACCTTTTTTATTGGTATATTAATCTTTCTATTAGAATCTTTAGCCTGTTCTTCATAATAAGCAAATAGCTTTGCTTTCTGCACTTTATCAAGTTTACCAAGAAAATATTCCTGCAACTTGCTCTTCTTTCCTTCTCTTTCTTCATGATACTGCCGCACATATTTACCATGGCACAACTCATAAGTCCAATATGACTCTAGCTATTTGGAAATAAAATGTAAGGTACTAAGCTGTACTATACTTGTTTTGTTACTAGGAAATTTTTAAAAAAACTTGTCTAGTATATTCTACAAATCCTTACTCTATAAGAGCAACTATCTTGATTAAATATTGTTTGCAAAAGCTTCATTGGATTTGGCCCGTTGTATGCTTCACCATACTCCTGTTCCTGTTCTGTTGCATTTGGAATTATGCATTTATATTTTTCATTATTTGCTGTAGTTATAAAATATGTTTCCACATTTGAGTGAGATTCCTGCAACAAGCAATTATATACTTCTCATATTTATTTGTTTTAGATAAAAACCAACAATTATTAATAAATATGAGAAAATCAATCTAACATATACTTACAGAAACCTACTCAATTGTTCGAACACATTTGTACTCACCAATAACTCTGTATCACTCTTTCCAGACCAATTTATTTTAAATATAACCGTATCGTCGAAATGTCGAAAATCATGTCCACGAACAACAGTGATGAAAACACACAACACATTGTAAATCCAATAATTTTTCATTTTTCTTTTTTTCTAATCACTAATCTATTATATTTTAATTTTTATAACTACTTTTCGGTTACGAGTAAATTTGGTTTGGTGCATATATGGCTCAAAGGACCGATTTAGGTTAGTCCATACGCCATTCTAAGATTTTTAATACGAGTAAATAGACCCGTGCGCCGTTTTATTTTATATCGGCGGCGGCGTTTGAGGTAAATTAGTGTGGCGGCGGCGGATTCGCCGAAAATTTTCTCTTTCAGCGGCGGCGGAATCGGCGGATGATAATTTATCGGCGGCGGCGGCGTAACACGGCGGCGCAAGGGTCTAGATTGTAGGAGTTAAGGTCTATCTATATAAAACGCAGACGCAGGTCGCAGTTAGCTGATTTCCCAGAATTGACCAATCCCGTAAGTCAATTGGCTGATTCGACAAACATGAATGGTCAATTCCGCGAAATCATCGGCCTGCGACTTGTGTCTGCGTCTTATGTAGAATGGCCTTTAGGCTGCCTTTATGGCTAGTCTACAATGAAGGTAGTAAGGCTGTAGAAAGTAAACTATTTTTCGGTGAAGAAACAACGGGAATTACGAAATGAGCAATTCCCATTTCGCACTACCTACTGCTTTACTATTAGCCAATGAAAGACGTGTGTTAAGGCCTGGTTTATGCGGGCAATAACTGTTAACTTATGCCGGAACCGGTAGAGTTTAACTATAGGATTCCAATACTTCTGTTTATACGCATTTGGCAATTTTGTATAAACAGAAGTATTGGAATCCTATAGTTAAACTCTACCGGTTCCGGCATAAGTTAACAGTTATTGCCCTCATAAACCAGGCCTCACTCTATAGGTCTGTTTTTCTTGCATACACTTTATACACTTTAGTGTAAAGTGTACACTTTAGCGTTTTTCTTGCCGGAAGTGACGTTGAGTTACGTCAT